CCTTTCTACGGCGGTATATCAACTCGATAAACCCTTTTATTTAGCGTCTCGATGGGTAGATGAAAGGGTTTATTACGTTCTGATAAACGGTAGGAAAGCGTATATCATACGTTGCATTTTGATAAACGCGTCAAACGTTTATCATTCGGCGTTTTTTTTATCAGTGTAATTTATTTCATATGTTTTACCTTCAGAGGGAAATTCTAGTTTTGTGTTCTTATCGATTATGTTGTAAAATGTTCGAGCGTATCATTAAATACCCATTTATAACATAAGTGCGTACGTAAGCATTATTCTACAGTCAACCAAATAAACATTCTGTCTTTTCTCCACATTACGACGATAAAAAAGGTAGAATAACATGAAACCGAAACTGCGTCAGTATCGGTGAAACAGATATTGTCTAACAGTTTAGATTAAGATCGCACGCGTCGAAAAAGCAGAATATCGAAAAAGATAGCTATAAGGTTTTTGCGTTTTTCTAGAAATGATCGATTTAAATTTAACTCAATGATTAATGATTTTTCTGGCCGAAAGAGTAAGATCTATAGCGACTGCGATCGAGATTTTAATCATCGTGCCTCGGTTTTCTGTCTGAAATAGTTTCACATGCAGAATTCGAATTTGGTATTCACGATGCTCCGAAAAGATGCTATGTAAATTCAGCATTAAAAGTTTTAGTCAAAACCAGCAAGTCATCCATTTTTTCACCGTCTCACTCAGTCCATGTATGGAACAGGGTTTGAGCATAGTTTCTGAAAAACATACTAGGGTGGACACATTCTGTACGGATCAACTTTAAGAAAATTGAACTACACTAATTAAAAGTAAAAACTTTTCTTTCGGTGAAAGAGCGAAAGGAAACTGTGTTTTCTCTTATCTAAGGCTTCGAAAGATTTTCTTGTTTACGAAACACAAGTCTGCCTGGCCGAAACAAAAAAAAATCTCACTTTGTCCACCCTGAAAAGAAAGAAAGAAAAACGCGTTCAAAGGTCCATTGTGTGTCTGATGAACCACCACAAGGGTTTATCACTGACAGGGAACGTCGTGAAGTGTCCAATCGCTTTTCGATTGAGATCATATTCATGGTATAGCCCTTCAAAAGTTAGACATAGTAAATATCATATCCGGCAATTGACTGGACCCTTCAGTGTCGAGAAACCGGTGAAACTTTAAGAATTTTATGCTGGGAGATGGTTTAGCCTTGAAAACTGACTTTCGAGTTTGCAGCTAAAATTTCACACACATATAGCCGAGGTGTCCAATAAACATTTGCCAGAATTTCAGGTCAATCAAAAATTCTTGTGAGGAATTAGGAGATTTTTTCTGAAACACGTATTTTTCGTTTTCTGAGTCTCCGATGAAAAGTGCCTAACTTCTCACAGGAATTTTTGTTTGAGCTGAAGCTTTGGCAAACGTCTATTGGACACCTGAGATATCTACATGCACACTTTGCGCTCATAATTCGAAAGTCGATTGTGACGGCAAAGCCAGTTCCCAACAGAAAATTCATGAAGTTTCTCCCGATTTCTCGGCCGAAGAAGGCCCCTTCAATTGCCAGATATGGTGTACTATGCCTTATTTTTCATCCTGTATCACATGAATATGGTTCCGATCAAAAAGCGATCGGACACCTCGAGAGGTTCCCTTGTGAACTACTACATGCCTGAAAGGTAATTAATGGTCTCGGCTTTTTTGTTCAGACCTTTCCTACTTCAGCGATAGGGAAGGGGTCATTTTATCCAGTAGGGCAGTTGTTCTATGATATTTACGATATATAGGTCAAATGGCTATGACAACATCGAACACGAAAACTATCCGAATCGGTCGTGAACTTGTTCGTCGAGCAAAAGAACTAAAAATTGATCCGAAGACTTTCATAAATGTCGATACGACTCAATCGGCCATTCGATTCAAACGAATGGCACCGATTGTCATTGCAGAGCAACTGAAAGCAACATTCACTGACGAAGATAAACGAAGCAACAAGCTGCCTGCTTTCATTGCTGCTTTCGAAGCAGCACAAAAACATGGTATTACGGAAGGGAGACAAGAACTAGTGGAATGGTCTTCATTACAATCGAATGGAGAAGTAAGTTAGAACAGATTCTGTATCAATCAATAGTATGAAGGTTACGCGACCATGTAATCCTCCCATAATAGAAGACCCGCTTGAGACTTTGATCCACGGTCGTAATATAAGACACAGGTCTTGTATTTCGTCCCAAAGCTTTAATCTTCCTTTTTTCAATCTCTCGATGCTAAAACGCAACATTTTCATTACAAGAAAACAAAGTTTTTTTTATGTTTTCACTTTTGAAACTTTTTTGAATTATCATCTAACAGGGATACAAAATGAGAAAAGTTTTGGTAGTAACGGATAAATATCGTTTTTTTTGTCGTGTTTAAATCTTTTTGATGAGGACAAAATAGAATCTTTCCTCCTCAAAAACTCATGCAAGACCTCTTATAAGACTTTGCGTCCACATGGGCAGAGCTCTGAGTAAGGTGAGGGTTTACTAGAGTCCATGCGCATTCTTGGATGGGTTTCTGAAGGATGACGAGAGCGTTTTGTCCTTCTTGCAGATTCGAGCTCTCTTGGGTGTCTACAATTTGTACGAATCAAATGGTAAACCGGTGTGTGATTTTATTATGATCGATATCAGCCAAAAACACACAGTAGCCTATGAGAGAGCGTTTACAAGCTTTGGAGTCGGTATGGCAATTGCTTGTTTGTTTGTGCCCGTTATTGGACCAGCTCTGGCTACAGGTGGACTATTGCTCGCACTAAAAGATGCGACGCATACAACAAAGGAAAAGACGAGCAAAGAAGAGGCCGAAGCATTACTTCTCAAGACTCTCGAGCATTATGGTCTCGTTCATTTTCAAGGACAAGATCAAATTGCACTGGTTGATTGAAAAGATATGTGTGTGTTCTGTTTTCCTTCTGTTTATCTTCAATAAACATCTCGAAGTGTCTAAAAGAGAGAACACGCTTTGGAAATGTTATAAATTTAAGTTTTTAAGAAAATCAAGATCGACACGACGCGTTTCGTCCTTTCTTAAGGGACTCATAAGGTATCTTTGATAGCCTATTAATATTACATAAAGAAATAACTCGTCCAAATTTCAAAGAAAATTGAAGAAGTTAAAACTTAAACGTAATAAAATGAAAACAAAATCATTGGGTGTGGGTGTGAACAGCTACCATGATCTATAAATTTCATTGGAACACCCAAATCATCGGATGGCAATTAATCTTAAATAATTTTTTGAGAAAAATCACAAGATTATTTTATATTTGACATATAAATAGAGATAATTAAAAATCTCATATAAATATGTTGATAAATTCAAATAACTGTAGTGTGAACAGCTACCATGATCTATAGATTTCATTGGAACAACCCAAATCATCAAGTCCTGGTAGTCATGATGATTCATGATGTCCCATAGGCTTATCGCCCGTTGGGGCCAACCGCTATTCGGATAATTTCTTTCCATTTCGTTCGGTCTTGCGCAAGGTGGAACAGGTCTTGTCCGCTGTATCCACACCATTCGATTATATCGTCCATCCATTCTCTACATGGACGTCCTCTTCGAGGTTTTCCGTTTATTCTTGCGAATACAGTGTGTTTTATCAACCTGTTATCGTTC